CTCGTGAAGTATAAAATAACAGATATTCATTAAAAAAAAAAAAAAAAAAAAAAAAAAAAAAAAAAAAAAAAAAAAAAAAACCCAAAAAAAGGAAAAAAAAAAAAAAAAAAAAAAAGAAAATAAAAGACACACACACTTGTTCGCCTTATGATGAAGAAGCAAAATAATACAATAGAAGAAGAAGAACGAATAAAAATGAAAAGAAAGAAAAAGAAAACAATATTTGTAGTTTACAGTATAAAACAGAGTTTGAAAAGATAAATAAACAATAGTATAATAAAATATGGACACGTCAGTGTTACATTGTCCAAATACCTGAGATGCAGAAATTGTGAGAATATGTTTGTTTGTACGAATATATAATATAAAAGGAAACAAAAAGGAAAAGGAAAATAAATTAAAAAAAAAGTATGCAAATATAAATGAATTATATACGAGAAACGCGTATTTCTAATAAGCAGAATGTACTGTTTGAAACTCACCATTTTTGCATTTTGGTATCATATTGAAGAAGATTAAAATAAAAAAAGAAAATAATAATAAAGGGAGGTTTAAAAAAAAGAAGAATATCCCCGTGTCATCCACAGGGCATTACACATGAAATGTTATGTATACACCAATTATATATGTACATATATTTTTGGACAAAAAGAAAAAAAAAATCGTGAAGAGAAATTTTAAATCGAAATTAAACTTTTTCGGCGTGGGAAAAGCGGTAGACTACTTTTGACAGATCACTCCCGTTCGTATATAATCGATCCTGGAATTCGTCGTAACTTGAAAAATAAATAAATAAATAAATAAATGATAATTCTTCATTTAATTGTAAACAAAAAAAATGAATGAATGAACCAATCGATACATCGTAACTGTATTTCGATCGATCGTCTTCGAATAATCTTCCCACAATTGGATTCTTGGATCGATCGACGTAAAATGCGAGCATTACTCTCTTTCTTCTATATATATATATATTTTGTTTGTTTTAAAAAAAGAACGTGAGAAATGAAAATAATATAAAGATAAAAAAGAGTTAAATGGAGTCTTATTAAATGTTGAGTCTGTCAGGCGGTTGACCGCGCCCTAACGCGCCGAAAAAAATCAAATGTATTTATAAATATTTATTTACGCGAGATAAAAAGAATGGAAAGAAAAAAATCTAATATATTGATGACGATTACGTAAATAACCATAAGTTAAGCTGTAATTTTTCTAATAAAAAAAAATAAAAAAAAAAGAAAATAAATAAATAAATAAATGAATGAATAAATAAATAAATAAATAAATAAATATACAAAATAATTTTTTGATGCGTTCCATTCGCCAAAACGATAGGCCAAAACGAAAATCGAAGCGAAAGGAACTCCGAAGCAATTAAAAGAAAGACTCTATTCAATGATAAAATGAACAAATAATAAAAATAAAAAATAATAATGATTAATGAATAATAATAATATAATAAATAATAAATAAATAATAATAATAATTAATAATAATAATATTAATA